GGTTTTTTGGGGGTTTAAATTCACTTATGAAAAAACGGATAGTTTGGGGTGCGGTCGGCCCGTTGGGCGCATCGCAGGCCCTTATCTAGTTTTTTTTTAGTGTTTTTGTTTATATTAATGTGCTGAACTTGGGTAATGTGGACCTTTTAATGTTTTTGAGTTATTTTCAATGTTTATTTGTGTTTTTTGGGGGTTTAAATTCACGTATGAAAAAACGGATAGTTTGGGGTGCGGTCGGCCCGTTGGGTGCATCGCAGGCCCTTATCTAGTTTTTTTTAATGTTGTTGTTTATATTAATGTGCTGAATTTGGGTAATGTGGACGTTTTAATGTTTTTGAGTTATTTTCAATGTTTATTTGGGTTTTTTGGTGGTTTAAATTCACGTATGAAAAGACGGATAGTTTTTGACGGTCGCACAACCGCAAGCGAACGATCATGTCCGTTTTCCTGCCCAAACGGACCAAAAGCGAACGAAACGGACGTCCGTTTAGGCCAGACTAGATAAGGGCCTGTGATGCGCCCAACGGGTACCCTTCTCGTTTATGATCATGACCTGAGGAATAGTTTCTTAGAATAGCAGGTACCCTTCTCGTTGGAGCCCAGTTGCCGCTTGCCAGTACTGTATTTCCTTCTTTTTTCACCTCAAACGCCGTTTGTGAAAGCCGGTAAACGGAGCTCCGGTTATCTTGTACGGACGGCATCATCACCCAGTTATGTCCTCCGTCAACACGTCAGGCGGACCCATTCCTGTACATGCGGCAGTATTTCTACCATCCATAAATGCAGATAAAACGTGAGGCTGCACCATTGGTCCATATAACGGGAGTAGGCGAGCTCGTGCGCTCTTTCGCCACTCTCGACTTGACTGTTTGTGATGAATAAGAATACCTTGCTGATCTCATTGATAATCCTTCCACCGCGACCAATAACTTATTGGCACCCATATATATATGCTCATCAGCAACGGCAATAGTGGCAGATTCTTCTTGGGCATCCTTGTTAACAGGTGATCTCATTCGAGTGCTTGGCTGAAAAAAATCTGCAAGTCAAGCAAGTTTAGCTTGGCTTGTTGAGTTGAATCATGCCCACACGAGAAACATTTTATGTACGATATAAAGTCATTTCTGCACCCAATAGAAAATTATTGAGATTAAGTGATGGAATGTTTTCTTCTACTGATGCAGAAAAATATTAGTACGAGATGTGGTGTAGAGCAGACAAACCATCTAGTAAAATAAATGTCATGTCAAGGGGATCGATGTACGTTTAAAGGAAAGACAGACAAATAATGTACCTAAGTGTTGAGAACAGGAATTTAATTTTCATTCAGCGCCCTCATTGGTCCGCCTTGAATTGCGCAGTGGGAGACAGATTAAAGTTATAATCCTAATTATATCTAGCTAGTTGGCTGGGAAATATAATATCCAGATTATAAAGATTTAAGCTAGAAACTGGACAAATAATTTGCATTCATTCTCCTGGCTAGAATTACAATGAGGGTTAGGGTAGACAAATAAACTACAAATAAACTACAATAATTTGCATTCATTCTTCTTCTTCATGTAAAGTAAAGCAATTAAGATTGTACTATGAAAACCATATGAGATGAGATGAAGTGAGATTACGCAAAACTCTATTCTAACAACAAAAACAAATGATCTCACCAACCAAAATTCTCATGCATCAGCACTAGTGCAATCCTGATTGGGCCATCCAACCGCGCAACAAATTAATTGTTTCAGTTCAAAAATCCTCTCATCTTTGCTTGTCTTGGCTTGGGTTTGTTTCATCAAACCCCTCCCAAGTACAATAGTAGTCATTTTTGCTGCTAGTTAACTACTCGTTTCCAGCAACGCAACGCAACGCAACCCACCAAAAAAACACTACTCTGCAACATCTCCTTCCTTCCTGCTCTACTACCACTTCTATGCTCTGCTCTGCTTTGCTGCATTGCTCCTGCTGAGCCTACTCCACTGGCTTCACAAAAGGGAAGGCCTCCTCCCCTCGCCACCCTGCTTCCGTCCGCGGCGATCCATGGCGTACGAGATGTGCTCCGCGATCATCGCCTCCGCGGCATCCACCGCCTCCCGCGTCCCGCTGATCACCACCTCCCTGCATGCCACACACACATGCATTGCAAGTCAGATTACATACACAGGCAGGTAACAGGTGTAACACTGACCGAAACCTGCTGTATGTCGTTGGTGCCCACCCACCTTTCCCTCATCCCAGGTAAGAGCTTCCCCTTGAACACCGTGATCAACGCGCCCGTAGCCTGCATTCCAAACCATCACCCACAGACAGTTATTAGCCGAAACAGATCCGTTCAATTCTTCATTCCAAACCATCACCGGCAGTTATTAGGCAAAACACTACTCTGCAGTCAGTCAGTCAGTACTCAGTACCCAGGCGTCCACCGCCCTCTTCCTCTCAATGCAATCAAACTCGGTTTACTCGCTCCACTCGAGCACACCCTCACCGTATGTATATATAGGACCAGAGTAATGGCAGTGACTCATGTACTAGGAGAGAAGCTGGTGGTTGCGTTTCGATGATGCAGGCAATATATATACTATCATATATGCATCATACCTGTTGGATCTCCTTGATGACCCTCCCACCACGGCCAATGACGGCGCCCACATACTCACTCGCGACAGCGATGGTCAGAGTCCCTTGTACGTCTCTGCCGTCGTCGACGTCAGCTGACCCCACGGGAGTGTCGGGCTGGAGGAATCCAAGGAGAAGAAGATGGTTCAGTTGGTTAACTGGGTTTGCAAGGTCCCTGAATGATGATGATGATATATGAAGAAAAAAGGGACAAGGGCAGGCACACGATTTGCATATATTTAAATCATATTAGTAACCTTGGTTGGAGTCAAGCCAACGGTTTCATTTCATCTTATTCTGCCAATAAATTACTTGCTGGCAATATTTCATATTTCTTCTAGGCCAATATAACAGCCGGCACATGCTTTACATTTTCTGACTCATGAAGCGGTGAGGGTGGGCCTACCATATTTTACGACACTATAATAAGGACTATATAATTGTCTGCATGGAAAGGTTGTCCATTTAACATTGATTACCTTCTCACAGAAAATCAAGGTAACACTACAACAGAATAAGAGCAACAATAGAGAACAGAGCCGCCCCCCTTTCCTTTTCGACGGAATAAGAGCAACCATGCATAGAGAACTAAACTCCCCTCTCTTTCTATTTACCTGTTCTAAAATCACTTGTTAACAAGACATGTACCGAGAAGCTTCATTAAACAGACCAACTATGCATTGCATGAAGAGAAGGCAGTCCAGATTAAGGGGTGATCGGATCACAGCATCTACAGTAGCTGTATTTCAGTTAGACAACGATGCCTTACCCTGCTGTGGTATCTTTCGACATGCTCATCTTGCCCATCGCCGTCACGCCCAATGCTTGAAACATGATAACGTGGAAAACCAACGCCTGAGTATTTCATTTCAGAAATGCGATTAGCCAATTACTAGTTACTGCAAAATGCAAATGCGATATGAACCACTAGCGAGCAGCTCAATACCAGCAAACTGTAATACTAAATTGATCGATCATGTCAATACAAAAGCATGGCAGAAATGATTAGGAAGTGCCGTGTTTCTCAGGTTCGATCTTATCTTACTGCTGCAAGCCCATGGCCATTGATAGACAGATAGTCCAGTAATAAACCAAAAATGCCTCAACAAGGCAGAGAGAAGAGATGCAACGAATTGAGTAGCAGGCAATGGAATGGATAAAAGAAGAGAAATGAAAGTTGATACTTTGGTAGGAGGACAAGTATTGGACATCGTCAAGCAGCTCGGAGAGTATAAGGAATATGGCCTGCAGCTGATGTTCCAAGCGCCCGGTGATGTTAACCAGTCTGTCATTGAAACCGTAGCAGAGTCGGTGGTGTGAGACCGTGATGCCAGCATTTGACTCTTGAGCTAACCACCTAGTAGTTAGATGATGAAGAAAACAGATATCATCATCATCATCATCATCATCAAACTTGGAACATGTGAGAAATATAGAGTAGAAATGAAATTAAAAAAGGGAAGAGGAAACATGCATGCCCCTGTTTATGCTCCCAGTCCGTCCCAGATTGAGATACACGATAATATATATATATATATATATATATATTCCAAATAGTAAACGCAAGCTAAAACCACCTCTGCTCTCAACAAGTGTGAAATACAATACTGTAGTAATAATGTTGGAGCAGATACACAGAGATGAGAATTCCAAACAATCATCCAAAATACACAAGTCCACAGCGGCAGCGGCAGCGGGCAATCAATCAATCAGATGAAGATGATACAAACAATGTGGTGCAAACTGGTGGGATCATCCCTCTGAATGAATGAATGAATGAATGATTCAAAGAGGAAGGGGAAAAAAACAGAGGAGAGCATACTTGATGAGCGTCCCTCCTTTGCCGATGAGCGCGCCGCAGCAGGCGTAGGGCACCACCAGCACCACCGTGTTGTCCGCCTGCTCGCCCTGCAATCACCACATCAGAGGATTGAATTGGATGGAGTCTCTGAATCATCGACTGTAACTAAAACTCTCAAGAAAGAAATGTTGAGCCTTTTGTTTGTTTACAGTACAGAGGAGCCTAGCCTGAAGGAAGATTCGACTGGTTAGTTTGGGTACTGCAGTACCTGGTAGCGGGGGGGGGTCTTGTGGAGGAGGAGGTCGGCGGCGTCCATGACGGCGCGGAAGGGGCCGGAGAGGAAGACGACGCGGCGGTCGGTGCCGGCGAGGATCTGGTCCCTGCCGGAGAGCGTGATGCGGGCGCCGGAGCCGGCCTCCTTCTCCATGGCGGCGATGGAGGACCCCGCGCTGCCGATGATGCGGCCGGCGTCGGCGTCGCGGACCAGGATCCTCGCGTGCGTCCGCCTCTCCCACATCGGGTCTGCGGCCCCATCCCATCCCATGGACAGACAGACAGATTGGAGATTAATTTGGATTTCAAGTAAGTAAAGCCCTCGCAAAACCCTCGTCGGAGCAGAGCAGAGGGCGGGGAATGCCTCTGCTCCGACGTCGGCGGCTCCTCTCCTCTCGTCGAGGAGGGCATCGTCGGAGCGGGAGGGGGCTCGGCTCGCCAGGCTTGTTCTTGTCGGAGAAGAAAGGGAGAGAGGAGGTACCTTGGTAGCGGTCGTCGTCGGTGGCCGGCGGCGGGGAGGAGCCCATGGCGACGGCCGACGGCGACGGCGAGGACGGACGGAATGGAACAGGGGAGGGGGAAAAGCCCAAAGGTGGCGTCTTTTCCTTGCTTGCTTGTCTCCCTCTTTCGCCTCCAAAGTCCAAAGATGCAAACCAAAACAAAAACCAGATGAGACCGGCCAGCAGAGGAGCGGGCCCCGCATGTCAGCGGCACATCAACCAGTGCTGTCTTTTTTTTTTTTTTTGCTTTTTTTTTATGCAAGTATAAATAATCGCCCTCCAATGCGTGCGGCGAAGTTTTCTTACATGTTACCAGCCACACTAGCCTCTAACAAGAAAGCAAAGATGGCAGAGATAAACCTGCACAACATCTGGATCAATGGCCCCTAGTGATGTAAACGCTCTTTATAGTATGTCTTTACTTTACGGAGGTAGGGAGTTGAGCGGCTTAATCAACATTGTTGTATAGTATGAGTCAAAGTGGTTTCTCTTTTGTTGCTTCCTTGTGTGATTTAATCTAGTTATTAGTAGGATTTCTTTCTTTCTTTTTTAAAAAAATGTTCTTAGTTCATTAGTGGTTGACAGAATTGGATTACAAATCTCTTGTCCCATGTAGTCTAGTCCTAAACCCTAAACCATACCACCCTTCAACAAAACCCACACCATATCCATATCCTACTAGAACTAGACTGGACTAGCTGCACACCACACCACAGCGCAGCGCAGTACCAAACCAAACCAAACCAAAATCAAGGAAAATCCCTGTCTCTGTCTCTACATTACACCATTGCAAATCCATCCTCCCCCTCCCAAAATAAAGAGAAACAACTCCTCCTAGCTCCTCCTCCTCCTCCTCCTCACTCCAAGGCCGCCGGCACCGGCACCGGCTCTTCTTCCGACTTCTCCTCGGGCACCAGCGCTTCCTCCTCCTCCTCCTCCTCCTCAGGCACCCGCGCCTCCGCCTCAGCCACCAGGACAGGCTTGTGCAGGGTCGACGTGCCGTGGAACACCGTCGGTCGCCCGCCCTTGAGGTGCTCCAGCAGCTGCAACACACCACACACACATTAGCCATCAACCTCCCTTGTATCTACCAACGCAGCGTGACATGACAGAGGACGACTGCAAAAGGCACACCTTGTCCTGGGTTATCGTGCCAAACCCGAACCGCTGCGTCCAGATCGACACCGCCTCCTCTGCCGCCGGCAGCACAAAGTGCTTCACCTTGAGGGACGACAGCAGCCGCTCGATGCACGCAAACAGCGCCTGGAAGTACCCCTGCATGCATGCATGCTCACACAGTCATTAGTTGGTTCACCTTGAGCTTTATTACTTGCTTGGTTTACTGCTCTAGGTAGGCTTCTTCTTTTTCCCCCTTCTTTTGGCTACAAACAGCCAAACAGGCATCACATGTTTACACGGATAATACAATATAATAGACATCGACTTACCAAGCCTTGGTTATCCCTGCTCGTCGCGACCAAGGGGAGCTCCGCGGCCACGTTGCCCATGACACGGAAGAGTCCAGCAGAAACCACCGTCTTGCTGCATCCATCAACACAACCCGACAGTTGGTTCAGGCTACCATTTTCCTTTTGCCAAATGCAACACCCAGAGGAAAAAGAAAAGAAAAAGTTTACCCGACAGTTAACACCGCACAGTACATCCCTGTGTAATCTTGATCCCTTACGCTCCTCCTGAAACAAGAAACATCATACGACTTAGGTGTCTTGTGCCTGCAACTTACGCTCAAGTATGGTACGCGTAAATGGCATACCCATAGACCATGGCTGGAATCAGGTCTCGCCCCGTCCCAGCTTGGATGATAGGATCAAATGATTCCTGCAAAAGTGCATTAGAAAAATTAGCCCACACCACCCATAACTAGGCTAGGAGGATCTATCATTGGTTTGGTTGCACACGGAAACTTAAGAAGCCACGGCAACTTACATGGAAAATACCAACCGCCTTGGACAGCACCACTTTACTATCTTCTGAACTTTTGTCCCTCAAAACCCTCCATCTAACATCAAGGTCGCCATCGTCATTCAAACCTTTCTCCGCGCGCTTCTTCTTTATGAGATCAACATCCACGGCAGGAACAGGTTCCGCTCCACGACTGACCAGGTCCTTCAGTGCCTCGCAGATCTCCACACATACAGTGGAACAAAACCATGCTCCCTCGGGCAATGCCTGCAGCAGTTAACCCATTAATATACTTCTTCGTTCTTATGATGCAAACTTTTAAGTAACATATCGGGCTAGGGAGATCACCGTCAAATCAGCCATGTTGTGTTCTTTCAGGCATCCAACGTGATATTCCCTCCCACACTGAACAAATAGCAACATACAGTTGACAGTTTATCACAAAATGAGATTGCCGCAGCTAAAAAACAGGATGGCAGCTCAATACGGGCATATCATGGATGGATGTGATTGGTCAACTTACTTGGTCACAGAGCAGCACAGTTCGTTCACTAAATTTCTTTTTACCAAAATCATGTTGCCTGCAAAACCGAAAGACGAAAAGGCTTGTTGGAGCATCAGAGAGCCAAATGGACAGCATATAGTTAAATAACAAGTGAGTATCCTGAATCCTAGATCAGATGCAGTGAGACTTAGAATCCAGTGAAATCATTCTGTAACTTTCAAGTTGATATTCAGATATTAAGACTGCATAACTCCAGCAGTCCATACTCCGTAAAGGAAATTTGATATCAATTTTACCTAATTCCTTTGCTTGTGGAGGATAGTTTCATATGGTCGATTGGTTCTACGTATTGCTGTATTGGAAAGATAATGAACAACAACTTGAAGATACAAGGGTGATGGATGGACACTTACTTGCACAATGCGCATCCACCAAATGCACCCTGAGGTGCTGTGGCAATACGGATCGACCGCGTAAATATTTGTCCGATGGAATCAACTCCATCAACCCTCCCAGCGGCTATTGCATTGTTGTTGTATGCCAAATAACTTTCTCTCTGTTGCCTGTTTTCACAATACCGGCAACACCAAGCTCCCTTCGGTACAGAAGACAAGCCAACACATTCTGCAATAAATAATCAAGACAACCAGTGGTGAGGGGCCTTTTGACACTCTAAATCGCTATGGTAAATACATCAAAACAAATATCTGGATGGTCGCATGCCCGAATGAATACCCAAGAAGAATGGAAGTTGGCTTAACTGGGAAACATGCATCCCCTAGTGGCTAGGCATATAATATATAGGTGCATAATGAATGATGTTACCTCTGTGAAAAGCTCTCGGGCAGGAGTCACAAAGAAGCAGCTCCCCGCCATCTGAACAGATGCTGCATAAGTCATCGTTCTGCTTTTCTGAAGGTTTTCGGCCTTTTGAAAGAGAAACCGACAGCTCATGTAGTGAAACGCCATTGGAAATGTATATGTTGTGGTAACTGCATGCTATAGTGTTAGCAAAGGGAATTGAGAGTATGAACAACAGGGCCCAGCAGAATACATTGTTACAAGAATATAATAAACTCACGGTTTGCGCCGAGCAGCTCGGCCAGCATGGCCTTCAAACTGTGAAGGGCTAACCTGTTCATCCAGCACAACGGTATTTCTGGTCAGGTTCAGTAGTAGCATAAATAAAGGAACTAGCTAATTAGAAGTCCAGGCTGACTCCTTGACTGAGTTGTTTCATGTATCTAAACTAAACTAATGGAATGAAGGGGCGGTAATTTTACCACTGTATTGCAGCAATAACAATAGATTCCATGTTCCTTTATGTGGCCATCCAGCAACCTCTAGAATGTTAGTCAATAACAGTATTAATAACAACAATACAATATTTATTTATCCGGAGTGGCTGAAGAAACAAGTTGCATAAGAAGTAAACCTTTCCCTGGACATAATAGCCGACGTCTGTGCCCTCCGCCAAAACACCACTCATGAAAACCAACTTGTGCAAGCCATGGTCCCTGCAGCATGCAACAACATATAATATAGAGCAACAAAAAAAAATTGAGATGATGAACTCGAGGAGAAAGAAAGCTAAAGTAGTTTGATAAGCAGCAGAGCCTACTTTCTTGTGATTCTTCCTGCACTTGTAGGCTTGGATCCTGGGGAGAAATTCTTAGGCACCCTGCCAGATGAGGTTGGGCTTGCTGCACTTATTGTCTTGGCTACTGGGTAGAAATTCCTAGGCACCCTGCCGTATGAAGTTGGACTTCCTGCACGTATAGTCTTCGCTACTGGAGATAAGAGAAATTCTTAGAAACCCTGCCAGATGAAGTCGGACTTGGTGTTTTTAGGTGCCCTACCATATGATGAAGTTGGGCTTGCTGCGCTTGTGGTTTTCGTTCCTGGGGAGAGATTCTTTGGTGGCCGTCCTCTCGGCCTAAATACCAGCAGTAGAAACAATGGTCTATAAGCGGAGAAGAAGAAGAGAAACTGGAATAATCACATGGCCAACTATATAGTATCACAGACATTACCTTGCGGTGCTCTGAGCTTCCTTAGACTCCAGACATGTATCACAGAAGGAAGCAAATTTTCCAGCGCGGAAAGTTTTAAACGAACCTAAAAGATAAGACATCGGCCAAAGTTACAGCATCAAATGAAAGAAAGCTTGGTTTGGATGATCAGGGTGGAGGGAGGGGACTCACTTTTGCAGTCCTGGCATGTCACTGTCCTCTTCTTAGGCACCGGGCCTATTGCTCCCAGTATTGCAGATTCCAGTGTGTCTACAGTCGCATCTGTGCACGCCCTCAATACATCATGCAGAGTATTTCCACTTTCCAGGAAAATGTAATCGGAGGGGCGCTTTTTATGGCTCCCGGCATGCACCTCGAAATAAAAAGGCGAAACGACCTGCAAGCCATGGCAGATTGGTCGGATATTGGCATATGGCATGGCAAATTGGTGTTACGGCAGAAGGGGACTACTTACATTTCGGCCTTTACATGAAGTGCAAGAGCACAATATGCCCGTGTCTTTGATGACTCCACGAAGTACTGGTCGCTGAAACGAGAGCAGAAACAAATTCCAGATCAAAATTTACAGCAGGAGTGAAATGGAACCAGGTAGTACTAACATTATTAGGATTAGAAAGAGGAAGTGCTACTCGTATCTCCAGGTCCAGAGCTATGTTGGTATGTGTAACAATCGAATCGGATGCTCGGTTTCATTTCATTATTACCAAAATGCACATACTGTCTGAGTTGTATCGAATTGTTAGAACCATGTCCTCCCAAACATGTTAAATTACTGGCTGAATCCTTTGATAACTGATTGAAATGCATACTGACTGAACTAGCAAGAAGGATGTGCATTTTTACCTTCCCCTTGTTCATGAAGTAGTTGACGGGCTGGCCCTCGAGCAAGCCGGTGGCGAAGAGCTCCCTGAGGTTCTTGGGGATTCCATCTGGCCCCTCGGACTTGGCCTTGAGGCTGGCGCCGCGCTTGGTGCTCTTGGGGGAGGGCGACGGGGAGCTGCTGGCGGTGGTGGTGCCCGACTCGTCGTTGTCGCCGTCGTCCACTGGCTGTTTGACCTGTTGCAGGAGCGACCTGGTGAAGCGGCGGGGCGACGCCGGGCTTGCTACGCCTCCGGTGAGTCCCCCGGGGTAGGGCTGGAGGTGGTCGGTGGGCTCGTCCACGGGCTCCTGCTTGGGTTTGAGCATGGGCTTGGGTTGGTGTTTGGGTTTGGGTCTGGTTGGCTGTGGGGGAGCGGTGGCGGCGGTGGGGGCAGGGGAGGCAGCGGGCTGGGAGAGCATGGAGCGGGTGACCCGCCGGGGCGGCGTCTCCGGCGGGATGAAGAAGGCCTCCTGCTGCTGCTGCAGAGGCGGTTGGGGCGCGCTTGCGGTGGGCGCGTTGGCGGCGAACAGGGCGAGCACCGGCTCATCCCCGGCGACGGCGGGAGGCGGCTGGGGCCCGTTGGCGGTGGGCGTGGCGGCGGCGGGAGGCAGTTGGGGC